AATATTATTTTCTAAATCTGCGTAGCTGAATTATAGAAAATCCGTTATTAAAAACAACAAAAACAGCTGTTATGAAGTTTAAATTCTCAGGCCTGTGTAATTTACTAGTATGTATTAAATTTTATTTAGGTGACAAATTTTACATTTTACATAATATCCTCAACATGCATTTTATTTTTACAGAAACAATTAGTTCTGATAATGTTCAAATAAACTTATAAAAAATAACTTCACTAACAAAGATACTCTTAAAAAGAGAAATCCGATCCGTTTAGTTCCTAATCTTTGATATCTATAGGAATATGTAGAAATCGTTGCAAGTTTAATATTCTAAAAATATTAAAACTGCAGCTATTTCTGCGTATTTGTCATAATTAAAGTTGCTTGTTTTTGTGACTGGCTGTACTCCACTAGTAGCAAGCAGAACGTTACAGATGTAGGTGGAAAGTCTCCCTACACCTTGTTTTAATTGAAAAAAGGTTGGTAAAAAAATTATTCGGCTAGCCAGTAGACCAAATAAAACAGTACCCCAGTGAGACAGTGATAAGTTTACGAATTTACAATGCTAAAATCCGCGGTTCGATTCCTCGCGATGAACATAACAGGTAGCTCGGTGGGACCTTGCTCTAAAACAAAGAAGCTAAATAAAACAACAAAGAATAAAATATGGAATTTTAATTTTCACGAAGTCAGAATGAAATAGGAACAGTATCGTTATGCACCCATCACTTAATTTCTCATTTAATATTTGAAGCGAAGTGTATTGTGGGATTAATTTCCATATTACACGAGTTTGCATCTAGTCTCTCATTTTTAAAATTATAAATGAAATGTTCAATTATTTATATCAGTTAAGAAAATTGTGGGCTCCCCAAATCTACCGAATGCAATAAACATGGGTTGTCATGTTTTAGTACAGTGCTTTGTAGGAAGCAAAGCAATCTCTATAGCTAGGTAAATTTACACAAGCCAATGAATATGCAATAACTTACCACGTGTTTCACCCCACCCAGTGACGTGACAGAAAGTACCAGGTTTCATTCTCAGACTTCTTCGAGGTAAGCATACGGGCTGGATGTAATCTGAGATTGTGACTTTGGCATTTAACTTGATAAGGGCGATGTCATTTTCTTTACGATTTGCATGATCCTACTCGGGAATTATACAAACTAGTAAAATAAAACATACTTTGATATTTCTTTACAAAAAAAAACACAAACAAACTGAAATTCACTAATAATATCGATGAAAAAAGGTAAAATTAGTAAAGTATTAGGATAATTTGTTTTATTTATTTATTTTTTTTTTTTTTACATTGACACATCATCATAATAATTTCCTAAGCTGGAAAAATGCTATATATTTTAGCAGTATAAATTACTGTTTCCTGTTTAACAACAAAACAAAAAACAGCTTTGTGGTTAGGGCACTCGACTCGCAATCTGCGGGTTCGATTCCCTGTCACACCAAACATGCTCACCCTTTCAGCCGTGGGGGCGGTTATAATGTGACGGTCAATCCACCATTCATTGGTAAAAGAGTTGGCGGTGGGTGGTGATGACTAGCTGCCTTCCCACTAGTCTTACACTGCTAAATTAAGGACGGCTAGCGCAGATAGCCCTCGTGTAACTTTGCACGAAATTCAAAAACAAACAATCTTCTTTTTTTAAAATTTGCATTTAATTTCTTACAAAATTAATATTTTCATGAGTGTGATTTTAGGTACTCTTTATATATAGGTATATATATCTTGAAATCATATACTATTAACTTATTTATTTAGTGCACAGATTATTAATAAGGAAAACAAGTTATCTCTTTTTTTATTATAAAAAGATACGAAAATTGAAGCTATAAATTGTTTTTGTATAAAGCATAAAGAACTCTCTTGTTCGACTCTCAGATAATAAAAATAATATACAGCTTCTAACCACAAAGGTTAGAGGTGTTAACTTCCCGGAATACATCCCTTCTTGGATATGCGCTAAGTTTCCGAACTTACAATGCTAAAATTCGGGGTTCGATTCACCACAGTGGATAGTGCAAATAGCTTATTGTGTAACATTTTACTAACAAGCAATGCAGAAAACTCTAAGTTTAAGGTAATTTTTAAATCTCGTAACAGTTCGCAAATCTACACAATAGGCTACTGCGCTATGCCCACCTTGTGGAATTTCAGCCCCAGATTCTAGCGTTGTAAATCCGGAAACTTATTATTGATACATCAGGTGACTGCAATAGATTGTAGAATATGTTTGAGTACTGAAATGGTATACTTATGCAGTGTAAGAACATCAAATGTGACTGTATAATTATATACTGTAGCCATGTTAGGGCTCCTTAGTGGCACAGTGGTATGTCTGCGGACGTACAACGCTAGAAACCGGGTTTCGATACCCATGGTAGACAGCGCACAGATAGTCCTTTGCGTAGCTTTGTACTTAACTTCAAATAAAACCATGTTGGTAATTAAAGGTCTAAGAACCAGTTATAAAAACACTCGAAATAAAATTCATATTATATTAAAGAAACATAACAATAAATTATTGGAGAAATATACAAAAACTCAAAACGTATTTGGAAAATTCATATCCGAAACTAAAATTAACAAATCTATTATTTATGTGGTCATATATTTTTATTATTGAAAATGCCTTTCCAATACGACATTATTTGAAGAAAAAACTTACAGGGTTATCAGAGACCATAGGTAAGTAATCAGGATGGATAAACATTTTGTCAATGTAACGCTGTTGTTCTGTGTCATCCTTTTCCAGTTCTCTATGTTTACCAAAATGTACCGTCCAAAGTGTGTTGTTCAATCGTCTGGAACAAACATTAAATTCCGAACTTATAAATATTAATCGAAAATATTTGGTAAGGGTTTCCATGATATGCATATATACATTTGTATGTTTATACTTATTAGGGCTTACCCAGAGGCGCATTTAGTGTATGTGGGGTCCTGGGCCAGATGGGATTGTGAGGCGGCAGTAAAAAAATAAAATAATTCTAAAATCTGTCAAAATGTAATTATAATCATTTTTTACATAAAAATCACATGTTTCACATATTTTAACTATTAATAAAAATCATATTTTATCTACGTATTGTGTTGGCGCACTATCTTTTGTTGCTGGGTCTATGTATTATTGGTTTGTCAGCATCAATGCAAATGGCGGTTTATGTTAAACTTTCCTGTTTCATTCTAAATAAATAAAAAATTCTTATTTTTATATATTATTGTTCTTATGAAATATATTTTTATTAAACCTGCGGGTCCTTGGGCCATGGCCCAATTGCCCCCCCCCCCTAAATAAGGCCCTGGGGCTACCATAACTTAAAGATCTTATGTACAGGATGACACAAAAATTGCGCACCGCTGTATTTCGAATTCTCGACTCCACTTTTTTTTAAGTCAAGTCTGAGCCTAACTCTTTTTTGTTGTTGTTACATTAGTTGTCATAAGTTACGTAAAAACATATTACAGTGATCCTATTATGACATTATGTTGCCATATCAACGATGCATAGTTCAAACAGGTAAGTGTAACGGCAGGTATAAAAAAAAACAATAATGGCGATGGAAAACTTTTGCACCATCATCCTGTATGTGTATAGAGAACGTTTTTTTATTTGTTTTTGAAGCTATATAAGTCAGCAAACTTACCGCTGAGCCACTGGGGGCTTTGGAAAAATAATAATTAAGTAAACTGAATAGTAACAAGCGATCTAGGTGTATTATGTTATATATTGACAATAAAAAATAGCGCAAAAGCTTTACAGATTGATATTTAAGTCTGATAAATATTTCCTACCTTTTAAAACAGTGGGCGGCTGTGAGAGCCCATTGTTCATTAATTAGAACTGCCCCACATGTGTGACCATATGGCTCTTCATGTGGCAACCTAAGAGCACCCTGCCAAGGCCAACTTCCTGGAACAGCTGGTTTGCCTCCAATAATTCGATCGTTTCCGAGGATAGGCGATATCTCGGGTCTCCCGCACTTTTGTGGACGTTGCAGAGGATATCCTTGGACAAAAACAAATATGTTCAAATGTTGATATAAAAACTGAAATCTGCTCATGATTAAAAATGCAGTGATAATCTAACTAAATGTTGTATTCAAATGTCACATCTACAAACTGTAATATCTACGACGTTGTAAGACAATAGCACAATAGATAGTTCTGACACGATACGAGTACTATATGAATTGTTAGAACATTCTACGCCTGGAATTAACAAGAATTATTCAATCCATATGTACAGATTGACAGTCCTTACCAAAACCCAATATTATCTGACTTTAAATAATTTTACCTCAAGAGTAAAAAATGACAAATTATACATCATAATTCGGTACTTTTCTGATACTTTTGTATAAGTATATAAACACTTTAACATACCGCATGATTCTTCGTCACTTCCGTCACCGCAGTCATCTTTAGTGTCACAAATGTGGTCATGTGACACGCAATAGCCATTTCGACACGTTAGCTCGTGAGCATCGCAGGTCACTGTTGGAATCGAAAGAAAAATTACTCATGTTGACTGTTAAGGTCGAGATCAGCTTTTATCAATCCGTTGATCGTCAGAATAAGTGAAAGAGTGGAAAACAAACAGTGAAAATAGACGAGCATTTCAGGCCCGTACGTAGAATGTTTGAAGGGAGGGGGAGTCTAATTGGTGAGATCAAAAGCCAACACATAAGATGTGAAGCATAATCAACAAGCTAATGCTACGGGGGGTCTGGGGCATGCCCCCCAAACAACTTGTAAAAAAATAGGTGCTATGATATTGAATCTGGAAGCAATTTTGCATGGCTGTTCACATAAAATCCACAAACATCCAAAACGTTAAACACCATAAACAGCTGCGCTATAGCTGTATAAGCATAATTTATTTACAAGATCGTGCAAGTACTTATATTTATCTACTTAGTGAGTGAGATGTTTTTTGTGTGTTTTTAGCGCTAAAGCTATTGTCACTGGTTTTTGACTGATCATCAGTGTTTACAAATGAATCCTGAGTCAGGAAAAGGTTGAGAACCACTGTTCCAGATAAAAAATTCAACAAATGTATGAGAAAGGGTATTGTGGAACTCAAATGCATTACAATGATGAATATATTTTGTTTGATTGTATTTTATAATTCGCACAAAACTACTGAAGAGTTATATACGCATAGCCATCCCTAATTTTGAACTGATACACTACAAGATTAAGGTAGTTAATTAATATTACTCACCACCAACTCTTAGAACCTTATCTGACCGAATAGTGGGACTTGAGCGACATTTGATCGTATATCGTGCTCACGTTTTTAAAAGTGCGGATTGCCTTTTTTAATAACCCTCTGATTAGCTTTATTTTATAAATATACGTTCTAATTCGTTTTTGTTTGTTTTTTAATCTAGTAAATGGTTTTTGGTTCAGGGATATTTGCTTAAGGTATAATTGAAAGATTACATAAGCATGTCTTATATTAATAGTCACTAAAAGCTTTAACAGTAAAAATAAAATGAGGATACTTCATATAATCTTATCGTTTAACTCTTGTATTTAAATCAGAATAAAAGAACATACCTGGAGCGTTAATTTCTTGAAATGAAAGTTTAAACCCTGGGAAACTGCGGATATTATTACTGTGAAAGGTAATATGAAGCGCAGAACCAGAGGATTTTAGTGGACGAGGCAAAGAAAAGCCACAAAATCGACCAATGAAAGGTGACTCCTTGGAATTCCCATCAAAAATCGTCAAAGCGTCGAAAAAACATTGTATAGAGAATTCTACCAGGAACTCTTCGAACGTCAACTGGATGAGCTAAAAATTATAATTATAGACAAATACATTAAATGGAGTTTTTCACATATTAAATAAAAGTTTACGACGATTTTTAAACTTCAATTACGTTTATTATAAATTGCAGACTAACCATTGATTATGTCCACGTTTTTATTAACATTAATATTCTGATTGCATTATTCTAATAATTTCGTTTATCATTTTTAATGTCATAAAAATCGTTTGTTTTAAACCACTTTTAACAAGAATTTCGATATAAAAACATTAAGTTTACCTTTGTAGGTGGAGCTAAGATAGTCCAAGAGCAAGTGAGGTTGAATGGATAACGGGTAAATCCGTCATACCCTGGACTTGTGATGATACCTTCAGGTCCTTTTAGTACTTGCGGTTGGTTAACCCCACATGAGATGTTTTCCTCGCTACACTCTAATAAGCAGAATAAATAATCTAGAATTTTCGCTTTCTGCGCATACCCATCTCCAGTTTTGAGTTGATAGGCTAACGGCATCCACCGCCGACTCTTAGGTTACTCTAATCGAATATTAGGCTCTGACCGTCAATCTTATAGCACAATTAACGAACCTAAAGTGCGCGCTCGTTTTAGTGACAATGGAATGCGAACCATGGATTTTTGGATTCACAGTCCGGACACCTTAACTAGTAGAGCACCCTAGTCCTGTTATGAAGTAAAACGTTCAAACATCTAAATATAATGACATTTTAGTTTATTAATTTCCTAAAAACGTTAATATAGTGGAAAAGAACAGAATGTAAAATATTCAACATAGCTTGCTTGAAATTTAACTGCAAATCAAGTAACCAATTAAAATTATGAGGACTCATGACTCCCATTGTTCGATTCATTTTCAAATTATACCAAATATGGTTACTCCAATAATCCAAAGACCCTAAAGAGGTGTAGTATACATGCCTAAAACATTTTATTATGAAAATTTGTATTTTAAGACCTAATAAAGAGAAATATATACGTAATTTAATTCTTATTTCTAGTTCTAATACATACATCTACTAACAGTTAAACAAACAGCGACTATAGCTTCGCGTTATAATTGATAGCCTAATATAAATGTTTATTAATATCATATATTCAGTCTTTTTCTCGGGAATTTTTAAATTTGGTTGTCATCATTAAGCATGTATATTTATACATATATATATTCAGTACGCAAATTATATAATTATTTATGAGATTTAATAACGATAATGAAAACTAGAAACCTAGTTTTATCTCTCATTTATATGATGGCATTAATGTGTACTAGGAAACATGTTGTATAATGAAAATAAACAAATCTTATAATTGCTTTCAATTTTCAATCAAAATAACATGTAATTCGTACCTGTATAGTCGTTGAAAATAGCTAGTAGTAAAACAATTTGAAGCTTAACCACCTGCATTTTTAGACAATGAAAAGAACCGCAAGAAACCTACTACACGTAGAATAAGATAACTTTGTACAGATACATATTTTCCTGTTATATATGAGTAGGCTAGAATCTTTTTTTTTTATCTTTTTAGTTTCATGGTAAGGTCGTTAAAGATACTGCTTGATATCATGAAAAGATCCTGTTGGCTATAATTATAATTAAACCACGTGGAAAATTTCTCACGGTATGACATTCAAAAATTGTATAAGGTAATAAGTATGTTCACCATTCCACGACTTTTAGAAACAAAACAAAAAACGTATCTTTAAAATCCTTTTCAATGTAAACTGCTGGAAGCTTCCGGCAACGAGTCCAAATTCATATTTAAAGTGTTATTACAAGCAGCCGTGAACTAATAGTCTATCTAAAGCTAAATGATATCTTAACCAAAAGTTATAATAAAAACATAAAAAGAATAAAAATGTGCGAGAAGGAAGAAACTTGCACAAAAGTTTTTCTGGAGATTTTTTGCTGATGAAATGACTAGTGTCGCCAGTAACACTCGCTTTGGAGAAACGACGCTATTGTTTTCAGTATATTGTTCCGTCTCCGTTTGTTAATTGATTTTCCGTAACTTCGTTCGGACGAAACTTTAGCGACACAAG